CCGCCGCTTTTCACGTGGACGGCGATACGAAGACGACGAAACGCGACCGAAGACGACGAGACCGAAGCACCGGAACGCCGGTTCCCGTTCGCGCCGGTTCTCGCGGTGCGGTGTTTCGTGTCTCGTCTCGGAAAACGGTGTGTCTGCTCCGTCGCGCGACCAGGGCCGAATCGAGAAAGATCTTCTTTGCGTTTTCAGCGCATGAGCTTCGCGTTGAAAACGATGGGTGGAGCCACTGTGGGAAGTGCCATCACCACAGCAGGCGGGGCGATCTGGACCGATACACAGTTCACTGTTCGATGCTTCGGGAGTGCGGCTGGCTGCTAGCTGCTGGCTGCTGTGAGTGTTGGCTGGCGGCTTTTTGAATCTGTTCGTGTTTTTGGTTGCCTCGTCTATAGCTTTTCGTAGCTAAGACTTTATAGGTTTTCACAGCCCGGTAGCAAATCTTCGTTCCATCTTTGGAGAACGCTTCACAGCCCAGGTTGTGCCACGCCAAGGGCTCTGAGCCAGCCCAACATCTTTAAGCACCCATCACGGAAAACGGAGGTAGTTGGAGCTCCTACGAAAGAACAAGCCCCTGGCATTGTACGACGTATACTGTTGAGAAACAGTATGAAACTGCCCAGTCCCAGCCACCATGTAAAGGAATCTCAAGCTGGCGCCATCATCTTGGGTTCCAACCAGACCTGTTTCGGATTGAGAAGTCCGGAATTTCCAGCAAGGCCGGAATCGGTCATAATCAGTCTAGATCAGAATACATGCTATTCTTTCGAAAGAGGATCCCCAGAAGTCGAACCACCATTGTAATAGCCGGGTCATCCCGGAAGCACCGAGCTGTTCTACTAAGGACATTTTGACACTTACTTAAACCCTAGACTTCCGTTCGACCATTATAAAACATGGTTGACCTTGTTTTTGAAATGAAAAATCCTTAGTTGATTCGGTAAAGCCTATTAAAATAATGGTTGTTGGAAGCCTATAAACCAGATCAACCATTTCAACAAATGGTCGACTTGACTTCCATGTCGTGGTGGTTCCGAGTTCGGGCTCGAAGGACGGAAGACCCACATCACCACATCGCGCTCGCGCTCGCATGGACGAGCCGAACATCTCAACCACCCGGAGCCGAACACTGCGGTGAAAGCAACGGCTTAGTCGCTCCGGCTCCGGCTCCTGTGAGGATCCTCGCTCTTCCTGGTCTTTTGCACCCTCACCATCTTCGCGAAGCTGGGAGCCATGTGCTTCACGGTCACGCTGCCTGACCGCAACGAGCTCGTGTTGAAACGAATCTAAAAGAAAAATAAGGACAGCTGTCCAACTGGGTTTGATTGATGATTTGTTCCCGCCCGCCCACCTCCAAATGTGTTGCTCTTTGTTGACTCCGTATCGTGGTACCAGAAGCCACATCTCAGGGTGGTTTTTAGTCTCTAAGTTAAGTGAGTGTGCACCCCTATCCTCCAATAGGCACCCCTTTGGAAGTTCTTGCCACTGCTTGTTTTGCTTATGAAGTGTGGCCTTTCGCGTGTCACTGCTTCTCACACCAGGGTGGCCTCCATTCTATTTGCGCTGTGTCCGCTGGGGGCATATTTGATGACATGTGCCCTGGCTTGCAGTCATCGCAGGGTTTGCAGCACTTTGCCATGGACAGCGGATGCAGGATGCTGGTTAACCAGGTACTGTAAAAAGGTTTAGCTAGGGAACTGGATGTTGGATATGTCATGTTTGCAAGTGGTGCTGCTAACAATGCAAACATGTGCAGGTCAAACTGAAGGCGGAGAGGGAGAAACGCGCAACACCCACATACAGAAATGCTGGCCAGTGAAATTTGCTGGAATGATCATTTGGGCTCAACATGCACACTGTAAACAAACAAGTCAACTTCAAGAAACATGTCTTTCAGTGGAGTGCGTGCCCAAATGATCATATGGCGTGATATCAGCGCTTTTTTGTCCGAAGATGGGAGGAACGAAGTGAATCGCTCCAGATTCGGTTGGAGACCCGACCCAATTCGGTCTGTCCATGGCTGTGGGTCACGACCCATGGGACCCATGGCACCTGGGGCCCCCTGGCATCGTGGGTCAACACCTCAGCTTGAAGTAAGTTCATGTGTCTCCTGGTTTTGACCCTGTAGCCACATGGAACCTATATCAACCTATGCCTATACTGCCTTGTTCCTATTGCTCTACTGGCAAGAGCTGCATAGATCAGTTTCATTAACCCCTCTAAAAGTCCCAACGATGCACTCGGGCCACCGAACTGGTCGTGGATGGATTGACTATCCCAGGTGACGAACAGTTCAATGCGTGGGAAACATGTCCAGTCCGGAACTTCTGCGAACGTCTCTACCCCCACGCTCCGGCCACGGCCCGAGCCGTCAGCCGCGCCGCGCTGCATCGCTCAGTTGGGCCGGTACGACCGGGTCTGTGCCAACGCTGTAGTGGCGGGCGAGCCGACAGGCCCCGGACACGTGGCGGGTTCGGTGGAGTCCGGCTAGTCGATCCCCCTTTGGAAGCGCTTGCTGCAAGTGCTTGCACCTGCGTCATGGGTCTTGGTGCACCAAGTTGGTACCGTCTTCCATGAAAACGCAGAAGTCATGGCATGGAAGCTCGAGGTGGGTAGTTACGCGATGTTGCTCGGGGTGGCTCCCCGAAGGGAGGCTCCCTTAGTGCCCTTCAAAAGTGAACTGGAAAAGGGAAGGCTTGTTAGGATGGTCACATGTCGAGGCACAAGAGATTTTGTGTTGTTCACTTCTGAAAGCTCCAAATCCCAAACAGATGCAAGCTGGAAGCAGATCGCATAGAAGAAGGGAACTCACGTACCTCAAAGCCCGAAAGTTGGCAAGAACGGTTGGGAGCGACTTCAGGTCGCAACTGGAAGAGCGCCGGGACCTGAGCAATGACACTTTTGGGGCGGAAACGCGATGTTCAACGCGTTTCGCGCGTTCACGTGGGCGGGCAGGGCATGAAACTCGAAACGACTCGTGGATCGCATGACACGTGGCTGAGGACAAGAGTAAGCCAAGGATGGCAACCCATATCTTGGTTAGCGTGGTGTAGCTGAAAGAGGACGTGCACCACAGATTGCAAGGACTGGAGGATGGAGGGAACCACATGATGGACTGAAACTTGCTTCGGACCTAGACGTGAGGAAGAATGAATCAAAGACATTCGAAGACCTTGTGGTCATTTGTCCCTGAAGTTTTGGCCAAACCCACATGGCCCTTCCAGGTCCCAAATTGGCGTCAAATGGCCACGTATTTCACAGATGTGCCAGTGCTAAAAAGTGGCCATGCTTTGCAGGAGGCTTCCTAGTGCAATGTATAGCACCTTGCCGTCACGTCGAGCAACCGATGCTGCGAGGGCAGGGCGCGAGCACCGCTTTTGCGCGCTGGAGGGGTGAACCCAACGAGCCTATATAGAGCCTATTTGATCGCTGTTTCGATAAGAAGGAACCGATGGCTGATGTTCGATGGTTGCTTGTTCATAGGTTCCAAAGGAATTTCATGGCTTCGAATCCCTTCAACATCTAGCTGCGAATCACTTAGCCCTGGACACGGCGTTTTACGACAGAACCGCCGGGTGCCGCGTCGTCGTCGCCTTGAAGACAGAGGGAGACCGGCGTGTCCGGCGTTCTCCCCAAAGAGCTTCATGTTTTGACGGATTTTACACGACAGGTCACCAGGTCGTTCCCATTTTTTAAAAGTAATAGGTCTTTCACATGAAGGATCATGAAGGCGATTCGGGCTTCCGGACCCCCCTGACAACGGGACATAGACCAGGAAATGGTCCAGGAAATACCCCTTGGTAGGGTTTATTGTTATTTGTGTCTTTTTCGGATTTCAATGACCATCTCGTCAGTCTGAGGTACGCTTTTTTTTTGGGCTGAACTCCCGTGCACGTCCAGCCTCGGCGATGCATGGCGGAAAAAAAGAGAGGCCAGAATCAAGTGGCCAAAGGTTGGGTGCCAAGGTCGACATCTGTCGACTACTCAAAGACCTGGAACCGACTGTTTAAGGGATTTTGAAGTGTCACAACTGGAGTGATTTCGGCACCTGAAGATTTGGTTCCAGTGGGAGACACAAACGCTCGCCCACTGCAGTGGTGAAGCAAAGGTTTCTGCTGACTCAAAACTGATCTCAGTGCTCCTTTGCAGGTTTCACGGCAGAGTGTCAGATGTCCTGCCCTTGCCGTATTGCCATCCTCAGATATAGCCGGTCGATGAATGAACTCAGAGAGTCAATGAAACATCAAGTTGAGGATGGTCATACTTCTTTCAGGAAGCAATGGTGCGGTGATTTTGTGGGAAAAATCGGGGAGGAGGAGTGTGGTTGATTAGTGCTTGGTGCTTGTTGCGGACCTCATTCTTGTTTCAAGCCCAAATGGGTGTTGGGAACATGTATGCGTGTCGAGTCTCTTTGCTTGCTTGATGCAGGAGTGCCAGGATCCTCCAAAGGGGCTTGCCATGAAAGCCCACAGAATAGGATCAAAAGACCCTCCAACCAGATGGTCCAGCTACAGAACATCAGGCCCGTCTCCCGTCCGTATGAAGCACGGCGCCGCACCGCCGCGCCGATCGAAGAGGACGGACGGTACCATGCGGGAACCGGACCCGGACTCGCTCCCAGATCCTGAGAGGGAACCGGTCCGACGTTGCGACCGGTTCCCGAGAGGATCCAGTTTTCAGAACCCAGACACGACCCGTCTGGGACTGCCAGTCTGGACTGCCGATCAGTTGACCCCTTTTCAACCACCCCTGGCCGTTTCTCGGCAGTCCGAACTGGCAGTCCCATGGGTCGTGTCTGGGGAAGAAAAAAAGAAAGAAAACAACCGGTTGCGTCTGGTCGTGGTTTCTGGACCTGCCCAACTCGTTGTTTTCACCCAACTTCAAAGTACCTTGACCTTCTTTCCACACGAGCACACGGACCGGACGAGCACACCGGGGTGCTGTTGACTTCAGCTCCGATCGCCCTCGCCCTCCGTTCAGCTTCATTCAGCTCCGAGGCCGGGTCTTCGGCGACTTGCACGGACAGCTCCGAGACCTGTCGGGGGAGCCCTGTGTGGCCCGCGCGCGCGCGATGGGTTGAAGCAGCGGGGGTGGTCGGACCGGGGCGCCCGATTCAGGCGGCGGATGCCTCACGAGGACGGTTTTTCGGAACGGATTGGAAGCCCTTATAATAGGAGGGGGAGTTTGGAAGTGAGGATTGGAGATGAATGAGAGATTTGGTAGGATGACCTCTACTTAGTTGTCGTTTGGAAACCCAGTCTCAACCAGAAACTGAGTTTCAGTTCTGGATGGAACTGCCCCGCGCCAGCCACTTCCTGGGTAAAGAATCTCAAAGCAAGGCAGATTGGAACAGCCATATGATTTGGGAGGAATTCTTCATATACCTTCTACCAGCACCTTCCAAAAGGTCACCACCTGCCACTGAGAAAAGTCTGCAAAAGTCACTTAATTCGAGGAGACCTGTTGGAAGGTGCCGGTATAGAATGCATACCCTAGACTTCCAAGACCATTATAAAAATGGTTGACCTTGTTTTTGAAATGAAAAATCCTTAGTTGATTCGGTAAAGCCTATTAAAATAATGGTTGTTGGAAGCCTAGGGCATATGTTTGGGAAGGTCGTTGTGGGGCATCCATTCCGACGAAGGACTCTGACGAGCGACGCGCCGTGCCGTGCTTGGCAATGCCATGAATCCGAGTCCACCGGCAGAGGAGCCTTCCGATGAGCGGTTTGGTGGACCGCGAGAACATGACCATATATGACGACATGGTATAAGCAGTGGGTAGCTCCTATAGCAGGTGTAGTTGTGGGGAGTATGACATGTCAAACGACCCTCAGTCAGAATCCCTTTGGGGGCCACCCCCGGCCACTGCTCTTCCAGTCCCAGTCTTTAGGGCCCATGGATCTCTTTGCCGGACCAAGCCGAGGCTTCTGTACTTTCATGCTTTCGGCATGCCCGGCCCGGACCGCCGAGACGTGGCGACGTTGGAGAAGGGAGAACGGGGTCCTTACACGACGACAGATGTCGGGAAACGACGGCGTGAAAAACGACGCAGACGGGAATTGATCATTGATCGACTGAAACCAGCTTATACCTGCACCATCCTGTCTGGGTGTCCTGTTTGGAGATCCCGGATAGCCGGATAGCGGTGATAATGGAGATCCATTGGACACCCAGACAGGATGGTCCTGGTAGTATATAAAACGTATACAATCTATGGGTCTTTGTTTTTCTATTTGGATCCCGGAGATTGCTTGTGGCACTTGGAGTGTATTGGTTTCTTTAGCTCGAACACAATTGAAAATTATATTTCTAAAGATCATGACAATGTCAAGGACCTCTCGGAGGGGCAAACGCATTGTATTTAGAATCCATCGCTTTTGACCTCTGGTTCCCATCATCTGTTCCTGTTCGCACCTTTGAACAGCTGAAGGCCAGCTGGGCTCCCATCCGGGCTCCTAGTTGGCCCACCAGAGCAGAGGTCGCGACGAGACCACCTTTGTCTTCAACGGTGATTTCGTGGCAACTCGGAGCGCGGGAGCGCGTCCGCGAGCGTCCGCGGGATGGTGGGGACTTGAGAGGTGTACCACACACTCAACTGCCTGGTGGATGGGATTTTGCAAGATCCTTGTACACCCCAATATACCCCAATGATTCCCCAATGTATAGTAAATGGATGCCGAAGTCGAAAGGCATTAAAGGAAGTTCCTGTTTCCTTCCCTTCACTTCTCTGTTCTGTGGAGTTCCGGGACTGTGACTGTGGACCACCTCCCTTCGGCGCTAAGGACCGTGGACAACATCAACTTGAAACCATAGGCAGCGGAGCGCTCCGCGGAGCGGGATCGACACTCTCGGACCGGTGGAACAGCTGTCGGACCGGTGTTCCGAAAGCCCAAAACACGAGTTGTTGCATAGGTTTGGTGGAACAACATGGAATAATGATGAATAATGAGGGGTTCGTTTTTTTCGGATTTGACCTGATATACTAAAACATATACTAAAACCAGGTCCCACCTTGTTTTGGAAGGGTCTTCTCGGTCTTCGGTTTCGTTCGGAGGGTTTTGCTTCGTTCGCGCCCGCGTGTGTCTCGGTCCTCGGTGTTCGGGCAGGCTTGCTCATGGCCCTGAAGGTGGAGATCTTGGAAGAACTCAGCTCTCTTTGCCACATTTTGAGACAGGCATTTTTGGCTGATGTTGAATGATTTCTATTAATAGCCAAGAATGTGGGACTGATAGAACTGATAACTGTACAATTCTCCATAATTTGTTCCTAGATTGGAGATGGCTTTCAAAGGGATCTGAGGAGTTGACGTATAGATTCCAGTCCGCTGGGCTGCCCGTTCCGAAGATGAAACGTTGAATGTCGTCAGCTTCTTCGACGCTTCAAACAGCTCTTCAGAGCCCTCATGGATGCCGAGAGCTGGACGACCCGTCAGCTTTTCAGAGAATCTCCCCGCGGCTCAGGTGCTTCATCCCGAGAAGGTCTACTTGATCAGGCCGCGCGAGCCGCCGCGAGTTGCCGCGCGCGCGGTGGCCGCGACCGGGTGTCCGGTGGATGTCCGGGGTTAGCATCGTCAGTCCCTGATAGGGCGGTGTTTGGAGCCGCTCTTCCTAATGGGGAAATGGTTCCTCTATACCCAAACGCTCCATGGGACTGCCATATTGGCCTACATTGGGGTGGTTTGGGGGGGCCAATGTAGGCATATATGGCAGTCCCATGGAGCGTCTGGGATAGGCCTCACCCTGGAAATCACGAAGGGATCGGACCCATTCAACCGGACTGGTCGGGTTGGAGCGTTTGTTCAACCGTTTGGTTGGGCTGTGAACGCTCCAGGCCCTTGGGCTCACCTCGACTTGTAGGGCGAAAGGTGATGACCCGAATCCAGACCCTTCTGAAGGTGATGGGAAGGTGCCCATATCCTATCGAGTCCAGATCCCAAGTCCCTGCAAAGGTGTCAGGTGATGCCGAAGAGGTGCCCGTTTTCGGATTCTACGGTCCCGACACCTTCGTCCCGCCTTTACAGTGGTGAAATCGTGTAGGTACCGGTCGTGCCGGTCACCTAGCAGTCCCAGCTTGGGCAGGTCACGGTCACGCAGGTCACGCTTGGAGCTTGGGCATGAGTCACATGTATTTGTCACGACCACCTCCAGACCTCCGTGACGGACCACGATGCCAGGGGAAACCATGAAGATCGGCTGATGAACGAGAAGTACGGTTTCAAGCGTCCGGCGGCCCAGGGCACGTCTGGCTTCAGTTGGGTGGACGGTAACAACTTGCGACGAAACCACCCAGATTGTGGGATGTATAATTGCCATATATTACCCCATAGAAGGCCAAAGAGTCCCGAGACCTTGAAGTATGTGTTGCCTCACTGAAGTAAAGGACCATTTTCTCCAGGCCTCCCACATAATTACTGTATCTAACATTGTATTACCCAGATGCGACTCATGGGACTGCCATATATGCCCACATTTACCTTCCAAACCACCCCAATCCAACTGATCGGTAAATAGACCAGTCCCATTAGTCGTGTCTGGGATTAGATGAACATTCGATCCTTTGGAGTCTTCTCCACAAGTGGCGAAGCTGCGGGCGAAGTGGGTGTTTCCTTGCGGGCTTGGTTGCGTAAACCTAACTGATCAACATGTGGTTTGCTGGACAGCCTGGTGCCTGGCGGGCGAAGTTGTCCCGGCTCGACTCAGATGAATGCATGCTCAAGCTGGGCAGCGACTTCGGAAAGAAGATGTGCACAGCTTAGAGAGAGAGAGAGAGACTAGCCATCAGTTTGGCCTTCTTCATCATGAATCGATGAGGTGAACTGGACGATTCTCGCCTGCGGACCTGTGAACTGGGTCCTTGATTTTGTGTTCTTCTATTGTTCAATAAACCGAAGCAGTGTCCAACCAGTTCCAACCAGGCTGGGGTTCCTTTGTGTTGAAAGCCAGACGGCTTTTCCTCCATCCCATCCCACACATCCATAGGATATCCATATGTTGGTTTTGCTACTAGTAGCAAGGACGCGATTACCCCAGCTGTCAAAGACATCATTGGGTGCCAGTGCCATTTCTCACCTCTGAAACCATTAGAACGGTAGAACGACACTGCGAGTCATCTGCAAGTGAAAAACAGATCCCCCCGAGCTCCGAGGTTTGACTTGATGCAAAGCGCCTTTGATCGCTTGTCGCAAGCTCAGTGGGCGGATGATCCGTCATGAGACAAAATGGCCACCGGATGAGCTGTGCATTTGTAGTGACTCTTTGCATCTCTTTGCCAAACCGAGAAGCTTGAATTTATATATATTTTATATATAGCTTTGATTCATGAGGATCATGAGGCTGCTTGGCTTTGGGATGCTTTTGGTACCCTTTCCTGGGACAGCTATGTAATATGCTGGCTGTTATTATCTAATGTGTATATATGTGTATAATGGTGTAATATATTCTATGATCGTAGCCCCTCACGCATGCGTGCTCGGCCCAAACCACCCGGGCCCAAACCAGGGCCCGTGCTCCTGAGTTGGCTTTCTCACCCCGCCAGTTGAACTGGAGATCGATCCACTGAGGCCATTGGCATGCTTAATCGCCAACCGTGCATTAGTCTTGCACGGCGGAATAGGCCCGGCGGAATCGTTTCGGCGGAATCGCCTGGCCGATGGGGAGTCGACTCGGAGAGTGGAGAGACTCGGAGAGTGGAGCCCATCGATGTGCCGATCTGTATCCCGAATTTGTGGGGATGTTGAACATAAGTCTTAGTGGTGAATATGTGGGATTTGCATGGAACCCAGAATCCCTAGAACTCCAATATGTGTTGCCCATATTTGAGGAAGTTCCTGATCGGGTCACTGAACTCGTCAGATCATTCTTGTCCAAGTTTTGACTAACTATGAGTCTATAACTATGTTTAACTCGGATTAGCCCGAACTGGTCGTGGTGGATAAAACTATTATAAGTATTATTACAAGTACCAGGTGGGGTAGTTCATGAGTAATTGAACATGAAACGATTCAGGACGACCTTTTGGTCTTTGAAGCCCAAACAACACCAGCAACAACAACAGCAGCAGCAACAACAACAACATGGCTTTACAAGGGGTCGGTCTTTCTTTTTATGTCGCTAAGGATTCCTGGCTCACCATTGATCAATTAACATACAGATAATATAGTACAGTATCAGATCTTTGAGGATTTTACACTACAACACCAGGTCCCACCACTGTTTTAACAGGGTCCTCTTTGTGTCGTTTTTTCGACGAGTGAAGTTCCGCCATTGGACCACCAGGGTCGTTTGATCCCAAGGGCGGTGCACGAAAGCGCCGCCGACCACGGCGCGCGAATCGGCGAGGCGATGGCATGTGGGGCCTCAGCGATATTTGGAACGTGGCCAGGCGCCGGTGGACGGCGACGGGCGAGAAAACCGTGCGCGATTCGGACGATTCGGAAGGTGGCGTGAGTCACGGGAGTTTGAAGTTCATAACGGCAAAGGCAAGTTCAGAAGTTCCAATGACTCAAATGGAATTGAGTCGTATCATCCTGCCAACGGCAGAGTTGTTGTGGACACCCCTGCTTTCATGCTGGTTTGCTGTCAAATCCATAGATTTTGAGAGACCGATCAGGCCTGGCAGATGTCAAATCCCTATATACCAGCACCCTCCAGTCCAGGTGTTTCCTGGTGACAAGTTCGATGTCCATCACCACCTGTGGTCGGGTCTCCATCTCCAGCCGAACCGAACGGAGGGTCCTGATATAGATATACCATGATATACCTGGAGTCTCGTACCTTGGAACATGAGTACAACAAGTACCTGTTTTTATGGTACTGGGTCAGTCGGTCCGACCGGCGGGGTTTCCTTCACCACTGCTCCCCACGGGCTCGCGGGCTACGGCGTGGGAGGTTGAAAAGGAGTCCATCGGCCATGGATTAATCCCGGGCTCCTGGCCGGCTCCTGGCCCACCTACTCTTCAAAGATGGTGGGATTGTATATGCAGTTCTTTAATTAATCCCTAGGGTTCCATTCACCTCCTGGCCTCGAAGATGGTGATGGTGGGTGCCAGGGGTGTCGAAGACCACCTTTTGGGGTGTCTTCAACCCGATCGAAGTCGCGGAGAGACGATGCCGCAGGGCAGTTGATGCGGAGACGATGCCTCCATTCGGTTTGGAGGTCACCGAACGCATCAGGCCATTCTTTAAATAGCCGACTGACCACTCCATATATAGATCCCCCAAATAGAACTAGAACAGTATAGATCCTCACAAATCATGTCTTGGACACCGTGCCACTATCTACGTTTGGGGCCCAGCCACAAAAAAAATGAAGTGACTTCTACTGAGAGATGTCCCGACTTCGAAACCCTCTGGCGTGTCACCACCGCGTCCTCGTGGCCAGGCCTCTCCCATCGGAGAAGATACTTTCCAAGGTCCGGTGGGGTGAAACTCATGTCCCGCTGGGCGGGAGTTGCGCTGGGTGACCTGGGGAGATGGACGTGAGTTGGATTCTTCGGCTCGCGGTGCATGTCACGCGACCGGTGAACTCCCGCATGCTAAAAGGTGGTTGGGTTGCGACCAGAGAAAGATCTTCGGGCAGCACCTTCAGTCCTTTCAGTCATTCAGTGTTCTTTTTGAGTCACATTCATGAAAACAGAGAAGCGCGATGTCCAAGACATTTTGACGGGGACTCACTGAATTATGGCCTGAATCTCTTCAGGATCACCATAGACAGACCATGACAGACCTATAAACGACTCTGTCAGCAGTTCGGAGACTTTTCACGTGAAGAAACTCGAGCAGCCTTCACACACGCTGTGAAGGTCAAGTGGAGAAACTCGAGCATGGTGTCCATTGGTTGGTGTCCTATTCACCCATGTTTTCTACAGGTTCGACCGCCAGTATAGAGTTCAGCATCTTGGCTGGGAGTTGCTGTATTTGACTGTGCTCGAAAGCTCGAGCTTGCTCAACAAGAGTCACCCAAGTCGACATGTCAGAAATGACTGGGAGTATGCAAAAGAGTCAAACGAACCCTTCAAGAGTGACCCTGTCTCTGAAAAGTGGACGCCAGGAGAACAGCTGGTCCAGCTGGCTTGTTTGGGACGATGAAGATCAGCGCGATGCTCCCGACGAGAACCTGGAGGGTGACGGGATCCATCGTGATGGTAGTCCATGTGCGATCAATGACTTCTGTGGTAGTTCCTATATGAATCTGCACACTTCTAGTTATGGAGGGGTAAAATGTCAATCAGAGAGGGAGGAAGGGGGAGAGAGAGAGAGAGAGGCGAGAGAGAGAGAGAGAGACACACACAGAGAGACACACACAGAGAGAGACACACAGAGAGAGACACAGAGAGAGGGCGAGAGAGCGAGAGGGAGAGGGAGAGGGAGAGGAGAGGGATAGAGAGAGAGAGAGAGGAGAGAACACACAAACACACAAACGTTCGCACGCAGACGCGGGAGGGACCTGTGCGTGTCCATTCAGACAGGCTCTTCAACATCCTTTGGTCTGACCCCATCGAAGATGGTGTCCATTCAGATCCAAATACCTTCGGTCCGGTCTCCCTAGACCCTCAGCGCGGTCCGGGCTCTCGCCCACACTGAAGCGCGGGACTGGCTAGTGACCGGGTTCGTCTGAAGGCAAAAAGGAACGCGATTCATGTCGTGTACACTCCGTGTATCTCCGTGGTGTTTGATTGTTTTCTGCAGCTAATCATTATGCAAGTAGAAAGGCAACTTTAATATGGTTTGTAGAGGCAATCTTATGGCCTGGCTATACCCTGGGAGTTTTAGGTGACCCAAAAAGGGAATGTTATTAACTTTGATGGTGGTGCCAAAGATCGTCGAACTGTACTTCAAGATCTTCAAGGGTGTAATCTATCTAACTATGCATCACGACCCTAATTATGTTGTATACGTGCAACTTCCTTTCTACAACAATGGCGGAATTTGATGCTGAAATCAATCTGTCACAAACATGTGAAATCAACAAATGCTCCACCTGGTTCTTCAAAGTGACCGAACTTGATCCCCTGGTTGGTTCGGTCACAAACAGGCCTGGTAAAGGTCACTTAGGCTGGGACTCCAAAAAAGGGGTCGGACCCGAATCCTCGGCCAAAAGGGCGTCCGACGTTTCTCACCACTCCCATCCGTTCTTTGCTTCGGGACCTTGCTCGTGTCGGGTCGGACCGCGTCGTTTGCGTCGTTGCGGGATGCGTCCAGGACGTCCTGGGAACCGGTTCTTCGGTTCTTCGGAGGTTCGATCTCCGCGGACGGATCCTCCGCTCCCCGAGGTGTTCACCCGTCGCCGCGGGGAGGCGTCACTGCACAGTTCGTTCGGGAAAGCCCAGGAGTTCGTGCAGAGTCGTGGGGGGGTGGAACTCCGGTACCGAACCGTTTCGGTGAGACTGGGGGCCCGGGTGCTAGCTGGGTCCAGTCATACCGAACCTGAGGAGGTACGACTGGAGCCCTATAGGGGCGTATATTTTCCCGGACTCAATCACCGCGTTATGTCTAGGAGAATAGATGTTAATAGGACAGTCCCACGGATGGTGTGGGAGGAGTGACTTTCAGGTTACATATGGAGTTGGGGTGGTTTTGAGTCGAAAATCCCGGGATAGTGGGGATAGTGGAGAGTGAATAAGGATGGATAAGGGGACATCCAGTGAGTGGATGTTTTAATGGCCGGAATGTTCTGTGACCATTTGCATATCTTTGCATCCGCCACGAAAAAAAACACAACACCACATGTGTGGATGGTTCCTTTTCCCTTTTCCCCCACGGCACCTAGGCCTGGAACATTACAAAGACCTTCTGTGCCCGAAATGGCCTGGGCTTGATCGTGCGAAGTCATCAGTCCAAAAAGGGAAGCCGTTGGGAGGCTCAGTCCGTCGGACCAGAATGGTCGGACCACGAGGAGTTGAGGAAGGAATCCTGAGTTCGCCGTTGTTTTGGGTGCCGAACAGGTCCGAAAATCAGGACTTCTTTGGACTTCTAACCCAGATCCCGGACCACCACTCAAGACTCAAGACGCATCACGACGCTGGAAAAGTGGACCTGAAACCTGCCAACCTCAACCTGACCCTCCATCAACATGGGACATTCATGGGAAATTCCAAGTGGAGTGCTGTGCGTCCACGTGGACTTCATGTTTCCACCGTTGGAAGATGATCTCAACAACGATAGAACCACATACCAGGACCATCCTGTCTGGGTGTCCTGGCTGGACTACCCTACGGCCCTACACAGCTATCCGGGATCTCCAGACAGGACACCCAGACAGGATGGTGCATATAGCTGCATAACCACATATGTTCACAGCTTCTGGGCACACCCCATTAGGACCACATTCATGTTCACTACCCTCCTATCAGAAACAGGAAGTGGGTATTGAAGTCCCGTTCGACGAGAAAACCGGACCGACTGTTACGTAACAGGACATTGCTGAGGATCTCGGGTCATTGAACTCGTTAGACCATTCTTTTTAATAATCTTTGACTCCCACCTGGAAACCCAAACAACATCAAACAACCAGACATGAATCCGGATGTTTCCACAGTCCCTGTCCCACTTGCGTAAAGGATCTCAAGCTGGAGCCCTGTTGGAACAACCAGAACTGTTTCTGGTTGGGACTGGGGTTCCAGCCAGGGTCCAACCACCCTAATGCGGGCCCTCGAGCCCGGTCCGGAGTCTCCACCACCTTCAACCGGTGCAGCAGACCTGGTCCGTACGTGTCCAACGCTCCGCTCGAAGCCGGTGAAGCCGGTAGAATCGATCTGGCATGGTGCGGAACGACCTGGTGCGGAATGAATCCTTCGAAGTGTTTCGAAGTTTGACACTGGTGTGTCAAACCTGGTTTCATCAACCTGGTGTTTTTTTAGTGTCAAATCCTTCGGACCAGCCGCTCGGTCTGCGTTCTCTCGAACGCCCCGTGTGAACGGTCGTCCTGAAGGACGGTCGTCCTATGGGTGAACGATGGGGGGCCACGACCGAGGCGGCTTCGACGTGATGCACAGCAATATGTCGGGAAGCCGAGCGACGGCCTGGGGAGCTGAAGACCCTGCAACTGGTTACTACGGTAGTGAGTAATGCCCTTAGGAACTATATTAGAATTAGCGACCTGCTGGACCTGGTGCCAAACCCAAGCTGGTTGGAAGGGGGGAAAGCCTCGATGTTTCGTGGAGATAGCCGGGGGTGAGGTGAGGCGCAGCTTGGGATCGCAGCTTAGCCAAAGGATCCAAAGGCCAAGTTATAAAGGCTTCCAAAGCCAAACAAGCTCAGCCAAGACTCCAAACTGGCCTCCAGCTCGCCTCCCGTGGCGGAGAGCTTGATCCATGTGCCAAGGTTGATCCGTGTCTTCTCTGCAAGGGACTACGAGGCTCGAAAACCCCAAGATGCCCAGGGGAGTGTCCGAATGTTGATAGCTGCAGCAATAACATCAAACAACTTGCCCATAGCAAGTGGTCTTCAACCATTGCAACTTGAGCCTGCTTGACCTTAAAACAAGTTAAACTCACCAAAGAGCCGTATTCGCATCAGTCGAGGCATTCTTGGGAGGTGTTTTAGTGTACACTCAGGGCACTTAGGACTTGCTGCACTCCAACGTCGATGACGCGAATTCGACGCTTCTTCGACGTCTCGAGACGTCGGCGTCCAGGGCCACGGAAATGATGGCGCAGTTCTTCTCATCACCAAGGGTCGGCCGAGCAACAAACCAGGCCGCCCGGCGCGCCCGGACCAGACCGGGCCAGACCGGGCCCGGTCGGGCCACCGGCCCGGTCGGCATGGTGTTCAACGGACGGTCGGTGGAGGGATGCCGCCGGTCGATGTCGAGATCCCTTTCAAAGTGGAGAAAGCATGCCCTATAGGAAGTCCCAAGTTCTTAAGTCTTATTACGTCATCCAGTGGTAAATAGATGGACTGGACTGGGAAATGTCCCGACTCCGGCGCTTTCCACCTTTTTTGCTTCGACTCGTTAGACCGTACTGGCGCCGCACCGCAGCGGCTGAGGGTCAGGCCTCCAAGGTGATGTGGGTCGAAACACCGGGAGGTTCCCAGCTGTACCTGGGTCATGCCCTAGGGCTCCTGGCCCATCTCCTCAGGTTCGGTGGTTAGACCCCCCTGGCACCCACCCCTGGCCCACCGCACCGAAACGGAGGTGGGACAGGAGCCCAAACGGGATGGGTCAGACATGGGGCGCCCCTCGAATCATCAAAGACCGACCAAACGTCCGAGACCGACGGGGCCTTCGACTCATCGTCAACGTCGTTTTTCGTCATCGGAGTGAGGTCGGCGAGTGAGGACGAGTCTCAGGACTAGTCTCAGGAACCTGTAGTTGACTTCGGCAAAAGACCGTCGAGAACTGGATATTCTTCATGATTCTTCGCTAATACAGGTCGTTCGACTGTATGTTATTTATATAAATATTGTCAAAACATCGATATCGGTCTGAAGATTTAAGATTAGCACATTTTGGGTGTTCCTTCGAGATACTGTGGAGGTCTCCTTGGGCACTCACCGGTGACAAAAGACTTCCGCATCAAACATCAAAAGCCTTCCGCATCAACCTCTGCCAGGTGAAGAAGACCTGCTGGTGGTGCGACCTCAAGTATTAAGGTCCGTCAAAAAGCAAAGAGCCGAGGCGGGCGTGACAAACACCCCGCCGCCACAAGACCAAAGACCCACGGGGCGTCACCGCGTCACCGGCAGCTTCCTTCCGCCCGCGCGAAAAGCTGGTGCAAAGTTACTATAACAAGGGCATGGACTACTAGTAGCAAGGGCATTACTAGTAGCAAGAAACTACTAGTAACTATGGAACCGAACACCTACAAATTGGTCGTGTCTGAGGGAAAACATCGTGTTTTGGCTCCACTTGACTACAAACATTGTGTTTCTGTCGAAAACAGTGTTTTAGGGTGCGACATTTTTTGGGGTGCTTGATGTTCTTGGTTCTCTATAGGTAGTTACGTTGTTTTTGCCTTTGTTTGTCTCTTTGTGGGAACTCATCAGCGTCCGCGCGGAACTCTTACCGTCTGAAAGTTGATTTGGTGCTGGCGTTTGACCGATGTTCGTTTGAAGGTTCCATGGTTTGGATTTGACTGGACTTTATACAATCACCACCCCAGTGCTTACTGGTTATTGGATGGACAATACCTCTTCAGGGGGGTCGACAGCAACCACCCGAACTGGGTGGTGCTGGTATAGTCCACACTTTCTTAAATCCCTAGGGATCCAGTCGTACCGAACCTCAGAAGGTAGGACCTTGCAAGTCCCTACATAAGAGTGTCAAACACATCACCGTACCTGAGAAGGCACGACTGGATCCCTAGGGAATGGACTTGGAAGGTGTTTTGAGGCGATCCGCTGCGAGGCCCGGCGCCGCGCGGTGGAGAATGGCGAAGCGGACGACGCGGAAGAACTGGCCTTCACCAAGCGACCCCGGCGGAGGGTTGCGTTCCGCGGCCGTGAATCGCGGAGGGGGTTGGGAAGATAGAAGGATGTATACTGTATACCAGCATCCGACTCTACAGGCGTTTCCTGGTGACAACAGGTGTCCAGAAACCACCTGTTAGGGTCTCCAAACAGCCTGGCCAGGAGGGTCCTGGTACTCAATGTATACGTTCCACCGAACCTGGCAGGGAGGGCGGAGTTGTTATGTGAGTTATGTGTTGTTTAATTGTGTGAAGATGGGAAGATAGAAGATGGGTATAGTCTTTTTGTGAGGAGAAAAGAGGAGATTTTTGGAAGAGACGTTTTGGATGAGGTGTCTACATGTAGCAGGGAATTCTGTGGAAGATTCATATTTCCGTCCGTGGACAGTGCACTCCTGAGCATTTGGAGCCTGAAGAGGGGTGTCATACAAGGTGAGCTTTGATCGGTGGTCTTGAAAACGACTTTTGCCTCGAAGAAGTAGTAAGTCAATTGGTTAACCAACTGCACTGGTCCGGTGATTTCTGCGAGAAAGTCGTGTCATCCCAAAAATCGCTCCCCAGGAGAGTAGGCTCTACAGCCTTTTATTAGTCTTGGATTGACGCGTATGTGGTAGTGGCTAGTATACATAATGTTCTTGATCGCTTCAACTCGGCGGATCCGCGTTTTCCAACGCGCCATCCTTTGGTCGCCCTCGGTCGCCCTCGCGCGGGTTTCGCGCCAGGAGATTGAGCACCAGTTCCAAGGGCTCTCGCGGCTCCAAAGGAAGTCGCGGAAGCAGCGGTGCCTTGGATGCAGGAACGCCTGCCGCTCTCGGGCGGTCCTGCCCAGGTCGTTCTTTCGCGGTTTTGTAAGCACGCTGCGGGAAGCGAAGCAGGGAGATCTAAGCACGTTTGGTGAACTTCGCGTGAACGGAAGTCTAAGACGTGGACGGAAGTCTAGATGATGATTCACGGGAAGTCTCACAGCTGTGGTTGGTTCTTACATGATGCCAGGAAAAGAAGATCTTTTGGGGCGGGAGACTGGCAGATGATGGAATTGGGGACATGATCCCTAGACTTCCAAGACCATTATAAAAATGGTTGACCTTGTTTTTGAAATGAAAAATCCTTAGTTGATTCGGTAAAGCCTATTAAAATAATGGTTGTTGGAAGCCTAGGGGATTGGTGCTCTTGCCTAGTTGCTGCTGAAGCTGGGAATGTGCCCGACTTCTACTTCTCCTTCTTCATATTTGCATGAACTTCTTGACTTCTTCTTGCACGGTGTCCAGTTCATTCCAATGTGGGCATCTATACCAGCACCCGACTCCGTGCTGGTGACACTCGTGTGCCCAGCTTCACCATGCTTCACCTGTGGGTCGGGTCGAAACAAACAGCCTTCGCTTGGCCGCTTGGCCGGGTCTCCTGGTACCTGTCCATCCAAACCCTAGGCTTCCAACAACCATTATATTTAATAAGCTTTAACCGAATCAACTAAGGATTTTACACTACAAAAACCAGGTCAACCATTTTTATAATGGTCGAACGGAAGTCTAGGGCAAAGGTCCATCCGGGATCCACGGATCCCGGTCGGATCGAGCCTGCGCGACCGAGCGAGGACGGGATCGACGACTCAGTAGCGCCAGCACCGATCCCCCAGACGAGGACGACGTGGGGAGTCGAATCCGCCGGAGCAGGTCCTTGAAGCCCGGAGGTCCTTGAATTCAATCATATACTGTCCCAATGATATGCTGCAGGAGGTCGAATTCAATCATATACCTTGAATCCTGGAGGTCATGTTCGAGTCTGACTAGATGTTTCACTGTCCCACCAGGCATGGATTGGAAAGCCTCGACGTGGATTGGGGGGCGTTTCACTTATCTTATAAAGGAGTCTACATTAATTAGATGGATTCAATTCAGTTGGAGAGTTGTTCTGACGAACACACGGAAGTGCATGGTTGATCTTTGAGGGAAGAGCATGAAATCATACAGAAAGGATCAGAAAGGGTGGAAATTCCATGAAATTCCACATTCATCCACATTCCATGAGTGTATCTCATGGATAGATTAATATAGATATACATTGTCTTTCGGCAAGACCATAAAGATCCAGATCAAGCCCTACATGTCCAAAGACCCAGTAAACCTAGTCCTGAAACCTCATCGACTAATATAGTGTTTTTGTGTGGTTGAGACCTCAAACCAAAGCCTTCGTTTTGAGGGTCTGGGTCCCTCCCCAATGCTCAAAAAGGACTCCAACTCGTTCGCTTAGGGTTTTGACCCCTCACGAGCCTCAGGGTTTGGGCAACCAAAAATGGAAAGCTCGAGTTGGTTTGCGTTTGTTCTTTGGGTCGCCTCTGTGGTCTGAGGGCTGTTTTTCGAGTCATTCGGCGTTGAAAAACTCTTCGTTGCATGTGCGATGTCTCGCACATGCTCACCGACATCTGCCCTCACAAGGTACATACCTGGACCAAAATATATCCCAAACGCTCCATGTATGCCATAATATGCCTACATTGGGGTGGTGCCAGGGGGGTCAATTGATCGGCATATTATGGCAGTCCCATGGGTCGTCGTGTCTGGGATATGGCCCACTGCCACGTGACTCGACTTCATGCGACATACCCGCCTACCCAGCCGACCCGACCCGACCCAGACTCGCCACGGAGCCCGGGCGTCCCACCGTCCAAGGTCTCAGATCTGGGGATAGTCCTCGAAGAGGCGCAACCGATCGCCGAACGAACGCCGCGAGGCACGACGCCTCGCACGAAGGAAGGGAAGTCGCGGGCTTTCGCCACGAGTGAAGTCGTGGCGGTGCTGGTGATCGTTCTGGTGTCTCGTTCCGAATTCCAGAACCCAACGTATAGATGAGAATCCCTTTGCCGAACCAATTTCCTTCGGTTCGTCCGCGTCTTCGCTTCTGGGTGTACCAAGATCCACCCAGGGAAAGGCGCCGCGAAACGGCGATTCGTTCCAAAGACCACCGGCTCTGGACGTGGACCCTGCGGGGGAAGGCAGAGATGGATCGCCAGCAGCGAAGAGTGTAGCCTGCACCTGCTTGAACTGTTGAAGTGCTTCGATCCGTCAGCTAAGCTGTTTGGGTGATGTTCTGCCGGTCGGCAAGTGGGCAATTGTTGGGCAATTGTCGGGCTAAATGATCCACCGCTTCGACCATCTATTGATTGGCTGTGGACGTCATAACGTTCAGTTATCCTAGAAGTCGTGGCCTACCCTTTTTTCCAAACAAACGGGTCATCCCGCACAACGGAGCTGTTTTTAGGGGTGTGACAGGTCACCAGATCCCAAAAAGGCTCGTAGAAGCGGACCTCCAGATGTCCAGGTGGGAAAGGGTCGCCCTCCGCGCCCGAGTTCCACTCTGCAGGTCGTTTGAGAAGCTGAGGCCGTCGGCCTCCGCGGTCGGGGTGCCGGGGACGCGCGCGCTGGGTCCGGTGGGGGGAACGGAGGGGGGAGAGGAGCGCTACCAGCAGTTTCCATCATGTAGTCCTACCCAGTCAGTGCAGAACCTGTGACAGCTTTTTGGGGGGATTGGTTTACTAAATGTCAGATGGAAAACGATGATATAACATGTTTTTCAAAGGAAACGGAGGGAGTTAAGAGGAAGTTAGTGGTTTTTCAGATGTTTCACATTTGCAGAATGCCGTCCGTCGAGGCTGTGGCCGCTGAGGATTCCCCAAGGCAGGTGCCTTCAGGAGTCGTTGCTGGTTATTTTTTCGCTGAGGACCTCGGCCTTGCATCATGGTTGATTGGAACCTTCGGGGTATATACATATTACACGGCCCGAACCTGACATAGCCTGACCTTGATGTTGGTCTCTGAACAGACAACTCAGACAGATACCCTCCCTGGAAGGTGGGCCGAGACCCATGAGTTTTCCTCTACCCACCCCATGTCCTCTTGACTTGGGCACTTGAAACGTGCCAGGCGATGCCTGCGAAGAAAAAGGGTCGAAGCTGCCAAAGGAAGGGGCAGTGCAATCTTTGCAATGCAAAGGCTGCAGTCTCACCAGGGTGGACACCCTATCACCAGGCAGCAGGCAGCTGTTCATCCAGCCACACCTCAGATCATAGGTTTCAATCCTTAAGAATTGACCTAGATCAGCCAAGCTTGGGTCTTCAAGAAACTCGTGAAACCGCGCCGTTTTCTCGGTGCCCCCCCTTCCACCACACATCGGCACCCGCCGCCACGCATCCGGTTCTATTGGGCCGCGTGACTCAACCGTCCGACGTCGCAACAGTTCTGCGCCGCTCCAGATGGGGGAAGGGGAGCGAAAGTCAGCTCCCCTGGCGCGGCGCGCGACGGACGCGCGCGACGGACGCGCGCGAACGGTTCATCTTCAGCTCGCCAACCTCGGCGAGCGCGCGGCAGGGTGTAGTAGCCCTGACAAGCTGAGACACGAGCGCCAAGAGAGATGAAGAGCGCAAAAATGTGTGTTTGGTGTTGATTTGTCCATATATTTGTCCCAATGCACTTACACGGCTCAATTCTATGTTCACATCATGTTCGCTCCTTTAAATGCAGATAGCTCACAAGCTTAACAAGCTTTTAACAAGCTGTAACTTGGTTATAGTGATCGCTCGTCGTTTTTACCCGCCAACGAGCTGTATTGGAGCCTGCCGCAGCCCGTGTGCAGTTCGACCAAAACGAGCCTGCTGTGCCTGCTGTGTCTCGCGTTTGGGCGTGCCTGGAAGAAGGCAAATAGACCACAAAACCCATTGTTTGGGGGATGTTGGGGGTCTCCCTATCAAAATGCATCCCCATTGATGTATATGGAATGGTTGCCTATCCCAGGGATGGGGTCACCATTCATCAGGACCGAAGGGGGCCTGCTCAAGGTGATTTAGTTGCTCTGGAGATCTTTGGGTACCTTTTTTTAAAATAGTTCGGCAGGGGTCGGACCGGACTCTCCACCGAGTTAGGCAGGGGGAGGAAGGCCCTTCCCAAACTCTATCTGGTGGGAACCGGGCCCGGAGTCTTCGGGTATGTCCAAATACATCGGTCTTCTGAATCTACATGGCCTCTAGGATGCTCTAGGATACTCTAGGAAGCTTCTGGATACTCTAGGACTTTCCAAAGAACCGGCGCTCCAACCTCCGGGTGTTTGAACTGGAAGTGTCACTGGCGTCACGCCACGCTGTCTTGCAGTTCCATGGACATCGATCGATCTGGTGCAACCTTGGTAGGTCCAGCTCCTTCCCGCCCGAGAAGACGTCCACGCTCCTGTCCATCATGAAGATTTTGCTCGAGGAAGACGGACGGAGACCTGAAACAAAAAAGCCCGGCTCAACCAGAAACTGTTCGTTCGATCTTTTGTCAGTCCCACATGTTGTCCACCGCTTTGTATGTAGGATCTCAATTGCCATATTGGAACAAATTGGATCAACATTCCAGGACCCTCCTGGCCAGGCTGTTTGGAGACCCGACCACAGGTGGTTTCTGGACACCTGTTGTCACCAGGAAACACCTGTTGGAGGGTGCTGCTATCAACCATTTGTTGAAGGGACGTCCAGAACATGCAGATCTGCTGCGGCTTCGACCGAGGTCGTGTTTGAACCTGTTCTTCTCCTGTTCACTTCGGACGATGGGACGGGCTTCGGCCACGTGGCTTCGGCCACGTGGCTTCGGCCATCTTCCCTAGGCTTCCGGTCGCCCACTCATTGAGGCTGAATCCCGAACCACCGAGCTGTTTGACGAATTTATATACACGTCACCCGGTCAACCGTTGTTTGATTTCATGGTCTGTCGGGATTGCACATCTACTTACCTCATTCTCTGCAAACAACCACCTGGTTTTGCTTAAGGTGATTTTTTCTGTTCCCTATGTCCCTTCTGGCCTTTGGGGAATATGTTTTACTTTTTCCATGTTCCTTAAGCAAATCCAAGACAACAATGGCAGCCTAGCCAAACTGGTGTGGGTGCGCCTCTCGCCAATCCTCCCAGAGTGTTGTTCAATCCAGAAAAAAATGCAAAATAACCTATACGATTGCATATACGATGTCACCTATACCTTCACCATCCCAGACCTGGGTGTCCTGTCGATCCCGCATAGCATATAGTCCAGCCAGGACACCCAGGTGGTCGGATGGTGCTGGTAGGTGTTGCATACAATCAACACCATGGCCTCATCTTGAAGTATCGAACGAGTGATTTGGAGTCATGTGAATCGTGGGTCCCAACACCTGATTCCCAGACACGGCCCGTCTGGGACTGCCATAGGACTGCCGAGAAACAGCCAGACCCCTGAAATCAATCAACCACCCCTGAAATCGGCCGTTTCTCGGCCGTCCGTCCTAGCAGTCCCAGATGGCGGTCGTGTCTGGGGAAACCTGAGCTCGATCATGTGTCCGGTTCCGGAACCGGCCGTTCGGAAGCGGTCGGAAGCGGAACCGGCCGGTCGACAGGACTCCGTGCGACTTCGCTTGGAACCGGAGGATGCCTTTCAGCTGTTCCAGGAGACCGTTGCCGCGGTTCGTCGGACGGAGGCCGTTTTCGAGCGAGTGAGCGAAACAGACCCTGCTGGCGACTTTCAGGGTCACCTTCCGTTCGACCATGAGAATTCACTAAGGGTTTTGTAGTTTAAACTGATGCTAGAATGTCTAAAACCCAAGGGTTCTTGGGTCGTTCGACCAAAATCCATCTCTGCGCCCGGACTTTCGGCTTCCAAAGGACTGGCTTCTCAAACACTCTGTCGAGCGGCCGCTGGAGCCTCAGCGCCTGCGCCTCAGCCACCGGTGATCGCCCGCCCCCGAGGCCCCGCAGCGTGGGGATCTTCTCGTTCGATGATGTGAAGTCCATCGTCGAGTGCCCGAACCATGGCCTTCGGATCGTTCAGGTTCGACCCAAAGGCCATGGGAAATGGAGGGATGCAATAGAGGGGAGATGAGGGGAGACTCCTTCTCCTCCCCAAGTGAAGAACCCATGCAAGTTCGGTATACCCTGGAAGTCGGTTCGATCAGTTTGAAAATGGTTGATCTGGTTCTGTATAGTGTAAAACCCTTAGAAAAAGAATGGTTGTTCAGTAAAGGCCATTAAATGGGCGGGTAATGACCTGACATCGACTACTCTTTTGTTCCTTCAAGTAATATCATTGCGCTGATGGGACACAGAAGTGGGGACGCACCCAGATGGGGTGCCAGAAGTGGGCCATCACATGAACGAAACCTGAGTCTCTTCTTCAAGTTTGTGGCGCAATTCAATTCTGCGGCGTGGCGAGTGGTCAAACATTGTTCACCAAGTGTTAAGCTGAGAGATGCAGGGTCACGGTTGTTGAACTCGACCTCATGTTGCTCTCCAGGTATGCAACCAATTCATTCTTTCGGCACTACAGGCGACTCCGGGATAGGTCAACTGGACGTCGGTGTTCGTTTTGCTCTTTTCAGACGTTGGTCTGGGCGGTTCGGGAGTGCAAGCACGAAGTTCAGCCAAGTGTGGGTGCTCGTACCCCAAATCTGAGAGGATGTTGGAACTTGCTAGACATCCATGTTCGCTGGATTTCGCTGGTCTTTGGAGTTTGGGTCCAACTACGCAAGCCTTTGGAGCCCTTCTCGGGCGAAAATGGTGCGGGTCATGCCAGACCTTTTTTCCTCAAATTTGAGGATGGTGGACCTTGCGCCAGATTTAGAGGCGTCGACCGGGATTTTTTCCCCCAACACGAAGCTCCCGGCTCCCGGATGCGCCCTGCAGGGTTGCCGTCAGACCCGAGCTGCGCTCGCGTGACCTGACCTAGCATGACCGGAGCGCATGACATGCCTTGAACTCGAAGTTCCGCTCGGGGGCGAGGCTCTACATGTATGCCTTCATGACTCACTGTGATGTTTGCCTACGTGTGGGTGAGCCACTGGGAGGAGAGACCGTGGGACACCAGCCCTGATGACCGAGCGCGGAGACTGACGTGAGACCCGGGGGAGCGAGCGCGGAGACCGGGTGGGTGGATCGGATCGGCCGGTGGCTTTCGGATCGGTTTTGGATGATTTGGTTGCGGGGTGGGGTTCTGCTCAGGCAGGATAGAAGCGAAGCCGGAGAGTCACAGGTTTCTGGAGAGTGGGCGAATTCGGTAGTCTGGCATCGAATGGAGTTCAATTGAACTTCATTCACCAGGAACTTGGGGATTGCCAGGACCCCATGATGTCCCTTTTCCAGGACCCCATGATGTTGTTCCTTTAACATGGTGAGGGGATGGACATCGCAGGATGCCTCACGAGGGGACAGGAAGGCATCCTTCGCTCACCTGGAGGAGCCAAGCCTCTCATCCTCAAGCCGCTGCCAATGACGATTGAGTCTGAAGCAAGGGGCCTAAGGGGGAGTTTCAGCAGATTCCATCAGATTCCTACTTTCTTTCCATGAGATGATCGAAAGATATCGAAAGAAAACCAAGCAGATTCTTCCTTCAGAAAGCAATTAGATCATATTAGATCCCAAAAACAATCAGTCGTTCCTACTTGTTTTTCCTGTGGACCTGGTTTTGTAGTGTACAATCCTTAGTAAAACAATGGTTGTTCGGTAAAGACTACTGAAACAATGAAGGTTTTTATATGTTAAAAACTATATACATAGGGGGTTCTGTCGGGCGTTAGAGATCCAGGCCACAGACCTTTGGTCTCGTTTGAGGACCAAAATCTGGTCCCCAAATAGATAGAGCCAGCCTTGGTTTCCAATACCTTTTGAAAAGGAGCTATAGTATTTAGTTAAATAGGTAATAAGATGTTGTTGCCCTGTTTGTTTTTGCAATGTAAAACCCTGAGTAAAACTGCTTGGTGGTTCGGGATGACCCGCCGAGTAAATTAATGGTTGGAAGCCTAGGGTATACATATAAAGATTACATATGTTGTGGCCGAAAGAATTTACCAAAAAAAGAACGCGGGATCGTCCAAGCCACTCGAGGTTGACCCGACGGTGCAGCCAGAACTGGCACACTTGTTTAGGCTGCGATGGGAGTGAACCACTGCATCGACGGAAAGGAAGACGTTTTCAAAACCTTCTCAAAGATATTCGAAGATCTCCGTGTGTTTGCTGCCTATATAGGTTAACCCTCAAGATTGGTTGAATATGCGTTC